TGATATATTGTTGGTTCAAGCAAAATAATTTGTATATTCATTTAGGCTTATTGCAGCTAATTTTTTTTTAATCAGATAATTGCTGTTAGTGCACTGTCAAAGCTGGGAAAGAAACATTTTGTGAGAATCATATTGAAACTTACGTCTTCAAAGTATCCTTTGAAAGAATAAATTGTTCATATCACACTCCTTCCCTACTCTCCTCTTCGTCTTTCTTTTTTAAGCCAAAATTGCGTACTTCTTCACGCCTTTTTCCATTTACGGCTTTTCTTCTTTTTTGGCTCTTGCGAAATAAAAAAAAGACTGAAAAAAACTCAAGAAGACTTTTAAAGTGCAAAGATTATTAAAAGTTTTCAGTAATATTATCGCATCAAATATACTTTTTACAGTATCTCTGAAGTTCTGCTAATTTTGCGATGGTGTTTTAATAGGTAATCTGTCGGGCTAACGAAGCATTTACACTTATGATTGTGAGGATAGTGTTACTTTTTTATCTGTTATCGTTTCCAGCTTCTTTATCGATACCATCATACAGTTGCTAAATACTCTCCGTCTTTTAGAATAACCGGAATTTTTGTTTTCAATATTACAAATCTAAGATGAAATGTCTGTGAACAGCAAAAGTTCATTTAAAATTGTTTTCACTATTTTGTTTTTTTCTTCCAAAATTATTACGTAGTTATGGCCGACAAAAATCTTTTTTTTTTTTTTTCAAAATTCTGGTATTTTTTTCATATAGTACTAGTAGATGTCATGGGTAAGTGACTGCAGTATAAGGTTTCTAATATCGCATACTTCAAGAGAAGTGTTTTACTTATTAATCAGCACCTTGTTGATCAAAAGTTGGTTAAGATTCAAAGTTTTGGTAAAATAAGGAATGTGTAACTTTTTTAGCGTCACCTATAAAGGAGAATTTGTTGCCGTAGTGGGACTTTAGGGCATTAGAACAGGGCAATTGTTTTTTTATTTCTTCAATTGGACCTGTAGAAAAAGACCAAAGATTTTGATGTTATTTACACTTCTTTCTTTAAGCCGTTAAGCATAGAATATCGGATTATTGCTTACTTATAAATGGATGGCAGTTTGAAGTATTTCTTAATTTTATTCATAAAGTTTTGGATCTGTTTTACTTGCTTGCTGTATGTTTTAGAGGTATCTGAAAGTTAGCTATGCCGGACGAAAGGCACCGCTTAGTGGTGCTTGGGTCGTCAAGAGTTGGTAAAACTTCCATTATACGCCAGTTTCTCAACAAAGAATTTTCTGAAAAGTATAAAGAGACAGTCGAAGATATATACTCTAAACGAATTAAAATTCAGGTAAAGTTATTTGTTGTATTTTTTTTATTAGTATTTGAGAACACAGACTTGGGTATTTGTACTTTAGCTTTTTCTTAATGATAAGGGCTGATCTTTGTGCTAGTCATGGCTGTAGGAAAGGTCGGGTTTTTTGACAGTTGAGTATCGGCAGCTTGTCACGGATCTCTACATTAACATGAAATATGTCTTTTATTTTTGAGCTTGATTTGTGGTCCTGCACTTTCGAGAATTGCAGTTATGATCTATGCTACATTATGCGAATTGAATATTTTTGAACACATTCGAATTATGATAGCTATTTTTAATCATATCTGTCAAAAAATTTGCTGTGTTGCTGACCACATTAACTAGATTTTATCTCTTTTCGGAAGTGTCTGTGATTTTTTGCAAAATTGTAAACTGTTTTCTGAAGAAGGAAGCAAGTAACTAGAGCCCAAATTTTGCTTATTCTGTTTCAGGATGCTAAATAACGAGCAGGAAGGAGTTTAGAACATTAATTGAGTTTTATACAAGTTTTACGTATGTACTAAAACATTTCACATATTTGGTTCACACATTTCTTTAATTTTTAATGGTCAAACTGGGCAATAAACAACATAAAATTCTGAATTATCTGACTGCCCCTGTAGAGTATTTAAATAAAGATGTCGAAGTAGAGGCTTGTTCAAGCCAGAAATCAAGAGAGGATGTCTTTTTTAATAACTATCACTAAAAACCTTAATATACTGAGAGATTTCTTTTTTCGCAGATGAATGACGATTATGACGCGATTAAAAAGCGTGCATAATTTTGGAATGGTATAGGGCAAATGCATTAGATAAAGTGCTGAATACTTTAATTTTGTTGTCAATAACTAACTTAACACAGCAATATTGATACTTATTTGATTGTTAGCGCTAGCTCTGTTACTCTTACAGCTTCATTCGATTGGAAAACTTTTCTCTTCTTATGTAATCGGCAAAGTAGAACAGCAAAATTCAAATATGGACTAGAAAAAGAAGTCTGGTTTATATGAGATAATAAAGTCTGATAAATAAGGTTTTTTCTTACTGTAAAATTTTTACCATCGCAAAGTATGGCATCTCTTAATGTTGCAGTTTCAGCCCAACAAAGCCTTAGGGGGTTGATAAGCTGATAGCTGTGAATGAACGATGTTCCTTGCTATTGCTTTGTAAACTCCATTAACAGAATTTGCTGAACCTATTTTTGCCACCCAGAGCAAATAGCGACAACCTTAGCGTTAAAAGTTACTTATAAAAAGTTACTTATAAAAGAGTTATATATATATATATATATATATATATATATATATATATAGGTGCTGTGCTTAAGAGTGCGTATTTTTGTTTGTGGTCGTCCGAATGAGCATAAGGAAAACAATTATTTTTTGGTTCTAAACCGGCAAAAAATTATCACTTCTTAAAATTTCCTTTTTTTTTCTGCATTAATCGGCAATATTAAAGAGAGACAGACACTGCAAAGGGGTAGATTTTTAAATAGTTATGGATATTAAAACTACTGCCTGACTTTCTACTCTAGTAGATCTTTTTGCTGCTTTGTCTTGTCAATAGAATTTTAAGACTCTGTGGAACTCAGAATTAGATAAATGATCAGCAAACCAATTTGCTTTTTCGGTTTTTTTGCAGCAAGTTATCAAAGCATCTATTGCATTAAGGTTTTTTACATTATATTGTTGATTTAGCTAAATTTTAAGCAGCTGTGCAGATACATTGATTTTGTAGTATTATTTTTTGCAGGAATCAGTATTTAGGTAGAGCAATTTCTTTTTACTTATAATTTTTTAAGTGGAGGAAGAACTTTTGTGGATTAAGCAACAAGAAAAACTGTCACTGAAGTGGATGAAATAAAAAAAACAAAGACGACTGCAAAAAAATTGCATTTTATTTTTTTTGCTTAACGTCTGTTGTTAAATGGCTTCAATGAATTTGATGCAGATGAAGCAGAATCCTTCTGGTTTTCATTTTTGTCTCTCAGCTATAGCTGCAGAAATGTTAGAACAGCTTTTTCACTTCTTCGAGAAATGACACTTTGTTAGCATGGTCTGGCATTGATGGTTTTGTTTGTTGGGAGAATGAGATAGACGAAGGTTGGAATATGAAAAGAATGAAATTGAAAAACAGGAAAATGCTCGATCGGAGAGAAAACCGTTTACTAATGCTAATTATCCCCTAGAGATCTATGCTGACATAAACCCAACAAAAAAAGTGTCTTCAACAAGGAGCACAAAAAGGTTTTTTTGCTTAAAATGCCAGCAGTTTTAACTCATTTAAAGTCGAGATTCTTGCTAGTTGATTCTCTTTTATTTTTCTTTTTCTTTTTGCTCTTATCGTAACATGTGAATTTATTTGTTTAGGTGATGGTGTCAATAAAAAGAAAAAAATTTCTTCGTTTTGCCAGACTTCTTCTTTTTCAAATCGTTCAAAAGATAAAAATTGAAATAGAAAAGATTTATTCGAACAATCAAGATTTTTTTCTTTTTTTAGCAAAAATTAATTTTTTCTTTTTTTTTTTTTGAATCTTAAGAGATTTTTGTGAACATTTTTTTTTTGGGG